TTAAACTGTCAGAAACTGAAAAATAAGTAACATTAAAATGCTTTTTGGGGCGGTTTTAAACCGCCACAAAGTTATTGACTTTTCTGGCACCCAAAATCAACATTTACAAAATATACGCCGCAAACTGGTTTTGGCGACTGTAAATCTGACAGTTATTAATGACGCTGGTAATACCATTTGTGGCGATTTTTAATCGCTAGAAACTACCAAAATAACTCTTACAAATCACACATTTTTTTGTAGTGTCATTTATTTGTTTAATCTATGATATTTTTAACTCTAAATAGTCAATGAGGTGTTTCTAACTTATTTTATTTAATTATTTTATGATATTTATTATTGTTTTTTAACTAGTTTAATATTATTAACCACCTCTCATTTTTGTAAACTATGTTATACTAAATTCTAAATAATTAAAAATATTCTAAATTGTCTAGTTTAATTATTTTTATATTATGTCTAACTATAATCTAGTTTATAAACTAGACTATAGTTATAAATAATATAAAAATAAAGGTTTGAATTAATTTAGTTTAGTTATTTTTATATTATTTCTAATTATAATCTTCCTAAGCTCATCTTATTATTATACCAACATTTTTTATAAAGATAAATGTTAATTTATGGTCATAAGAAAAATAAAGGTTTGAATTAATTTGTAGTTAGATGTTTAATCTTGAGAATTTAATGAGTAAAAACTTAAGGTGAAATATTCTTGCGTTATTTGATATTATGATAATGCTCATTTATATATCATAACTAGTTAATACAAAAATAATTCAAATTTCACTATGACATAAAAATCTATAATATATAATTAATACATGTTGCAGATAATTTTGTATATTTTATTTATTTATTTGTATTTATTGGATAACTGTTCTTCCTCCTTATTTTTCTTGTTGCAAATATTAAATTAAATATGATGTAAAATAGATGAATCTTCCCGCAATTCTCGGTCCTTTTACTACAATTATCTCGACCATATTCTTTGACACAAATTGAAATGTTGATGCAGTTGCCAGTTCAGTTACCTTTCAAGGCTACTATAGAACCATCTATAACAACATGAGTTTCCTAGTTTGGTGAAAGTACAAAGGTTGATAACCCAATAGTAACTTTATTTCAACTTGAGATGTAATTTTTCTAGTAGAAGTGTGAAAGAAAAATAGTTTGTAAATAAGACCTTTTTCTTTCACTTAGATGATAAAACTAATATATTATATATATATAATTCTTGAGTCTAAAATTTAAATATATACTTTTCAATCCAATAAACAAAACTTTATTTGATTAATTACACAGAAACAAATTATATAAATATTGAAACATGTTCATACCAAAATTTTCAAAATTAATCAAATCCCACAAAACTTCCGAATCATACTTCCAACCCCATCCTTAGTTATTCAATCGCATAACATGCTATCTATAACATACAAGGAATAGCCTTAAAGAAAATGTGCTTACGATATCACAATCTCAAAATTGCGGTTCTTGACATCACCAACAACGTTGCTGTCCATAAATACAATTTCATGCCATATGATGAATCGCAGACCAAACCATATATCCGATTATAATAATTATTGATTGGATTTTGAGTTTTTGTTTTAGAAAAAGACAGATCAATCAAACTATATCCAACCATGGGCTCCAAGTGGAAGGGCCCAATCCTCACTTTTATCCACAATCCTTCTAGACTGAGAACGAGTGGCATTCATTTTTGGGCCTGGGCTCCTTGGAAATTGGTAACCGGCAATTCCTCCACCTGAACTAGATGAGTCACAGGTGGAGGCTTCCTTGGTTGAGAAGTTCCACTGAGGCTCAGGTGAAGCCCGCATCTTGGATGGCCCTTGGGCCCGAACCTTGGCCTTTGTAGACTGAGTAGGGGCCATATAGCTAGGTCTATTTGGGCTGGGAGGTATCTGATGGTGCCTGTTGAAAACTGGGCTTGAATCTATAAAGTCTTGGTTGATGGGGCTGATGTTGGTTGGTCCTACAGTTGCAAGCATGTCCATTTCCATAGTCTTCTCAGACATGTTATCTGTTGTAGTTGATGTTGTAGAAGTAAGAGTCCTGTAAGAGGTCTCATGCAACCCCACGTTCTTAACACTGCATGGTTGCGATGACATCCAATTCTCCAACCAGTTCCAACCCCATTGGGCCTTTTCACGATCATATTCATAGGTTGCTCCTAGATCATTGTCTGCCAGCAAAAATTGCTTCTGTTGTTGCTGCAACGCAAACAAAAATAAACTATTTTAAGAGTTTCTCTTTGGGGTAATTATGTTTTCAACTTTTTTGAAATTTAGATTTTAGTCCTTCAACATAAATTTGACTGGTATATTCAGAAAAATCCAAGTTTCCATCAACTAGAGATAAAACTCTTAAAGATTATTTAAGTGTAAAACAATTTTTACTTTATAAGTTAATTTTGTAAAGTTGAATTAGGCGCAAATATATTATTCTTAGATGATATTAGAGTTCTGGATCATTCAAAGGGTTACCCATCATTTATCCACATAACAAATCTAATAGATGGTTGACGTGAAAAAGTATATTCGGAAAAATTTAAGTAACACATCAACTAGAGATAAATCTCTTAAAAACTATATAAGTTTAGAACAATTTTCATTTTATAAATAAGTTTTGTAAGAATGAATTAAGCTTAAATCCACTATTCTAAGAAGATAAGATCTTTTAACTTTTTTAATTCAAATTTTTTCTCTCTAAATAAAAGTTTGATCGGTTAAAGTCTCTAACTTTTTTTATAAAATCTCGGTTTTACCCTGAAAATTCATTAAAAGAATATAAGTAATGGAGTTCAAACATTTTTTTTATAAGCTAAAAATCTTGATAAAAAAAATATAGAAACATTGACCAGTCAAACTTTTGATTAAGGGCAAAATTAAAATTTTGAAAAAATATAGACCAACAACTTGGTTAACCTAGTTATGAAACAAGCACAATAACAAAATGATGTACGTAAAACACAAGAGTTCCAAATGGAAATGGGTAACCTGTTGGTAGTCGAAAGCATATGAAAGAGCTCTCCCCCTCTTCATTACCGCTTCATGTTTCCTCAATTCGTTTTCTTTAATTTTGTGGCTGCTTTGACGCCTACTGTCCCAATCATTAATTTTTGTTCTTCTCATGGGGCTCATGGGCATGGGCATGGGCTCGGGTTCGAGCTCGGGCTTTTCCTTCTTTTTCTCAAATTGTTGTTTTTCTTCCACGTGGCTCAATTGGAGTCGACGAGCCCTTACTCGTGCCTGCACCCTCACTAGGGCTTGCATGCAACGCATTGTCATCTGTGCTTGCTTTCGCACATTATGTCCCCTCACCAATGCTTGCAGCCTCACTAATCCCTTCAATGCTCGCAGTGCTCGACGAGCCTACACAATAATTAATTCATTTGATTCAACACCTAATGTCAATGCCCAATAATAATCAATATCACTCATATGTAGATTCAAGAAAAAGAAGAAAAAGATTTCACACAATTCTATGGTACTGTACTTCCAGAAGACAACTTAATTGTTCGAGCCCTATACTTTCCTTTAGACAGACTAAAATAGTACTCTCATAAATCAAAGTGTTTTCATATAGCTGTTTCAATCATTAAGTTACATATTTCATATTTATATGATTTTTATCTTTATATTTCAATTATTTTCTTATACTATATTAATTATTTAATATAAATGTGAAAATGCAATTTTAAAAATTATAAAATGTGGAGAAAAAAAATTCTCTATAATATTAGTCGGGTCTAACAAAAGATGAGAAGTACTAAAATTTATTATATTTTATAGTAATTTTTTATTATTAAGACATGACAACTGTTATATTCTAACTAAGAAAACAAAAGGAAAAAAATTCAAATATAATATAT